ATCCCTCCTGAAAGCCTGTTTGAGCCCTCGTTCACAGTCGATATGCTGGCTCCATCTTTTCCATTGGTCAACCACTTTCTAAAGTCAATAGAAAAATTACCGCAACAGGTTCATGCCTATTCTGCCAATGCACAGCCTAACGTTGAGTTGACATCGACTACTACACCTATTCGATATCAGACGCAGGTCAGAATATAGATTTATTATGTATTTATCAACTGACTATCATTTCAAACAATCTTTGCTCAAGCTTAACCTCTCATGTTGCAAAAGAAGCAAAAGAAGTGATTGCTACGCATTCTGACTGAAAATCAATGAGAAAGAATATCGGCAATGTATAGAGTTGCTAATTCTTCTGAAATCATAAGGAACGGGCTATTCCAAAAGAAATATTGTTCAAATCAAAGGCTAATGCAAGCTTTAGCTCAAGCTTCAAAATACTCTGAATTCCAACGAGCCCATTGCCTCTATAACTCTACAACCCGTAAAAAACATTTTCACCTCGCAAAGCACATCTCTCAACTTCTTCAAGGAGATCCTGGCATATTAGCGTTCCAAAGTTGTTGTTAGCACTGGCCTTAAAGGTGTCGATTATACCTCATGATCAGATGCTTGATATGCTTAGATACTTTCCAATATAATCGGCGCGGAGTTCTGAAAAATTCCCACAAACCCAATACTTCAATTATAATGTTTTCATTATTCTATCTCAAAATGAGGAAATGATGTAAACTTTAAATATAGTGGGCATATGGGTAAAAAAAATTAAAATCGTTTCGCGCTGGGTATCATATTGCTTACTTTTTTGCATAACTGGCAAGAAAATAAACGTCAAAAATTTTCTAATTTTTGCGTGCATCACTATGCTTATCCCGAATCACTTGCGAGATAAGATCTCGGTACAAAAACGATGTTCAAGTGCTTCCAAGAAGGCGACCGAGAAGAGCTATTGACCATTTAAGAGTGATAATTGTTCTTCCTTCATTTACGTCGTTTATTCTAAACAGAAACTCCTTTTCTATTATTCTAGACAGAAACTCCTTTTCGTGCATTCACATTCACAACTGCCACAACTAAAGCAAGAGCTAAAATGAGCAAGCTGTCCTTTAGGTACGAACTACCTTTATCTCGCATCTCTTTATTAAAACATTTGTAATATGTTTTCTCTTTAAGACCTATCAAAAATGAGACCTCTGGAGCTGCAGCACATGTCTCCGTACCAAGTCATCGCCTTCTCAATGATATTCTTGTCATTCCATCCACTCGTCGTCTCTATATTCTCGCCATCATTCCCATACATGAATCGGCGGATAGTCAGGTGAATTTCCCACAGTTCACGTTCAAAGTGATAGTGTAACCGGACCATTGTTGTAAAAAAGTGAGATTAGTTTTTATGCAAACAGCTTAAGGAAAACTAGTCTTATAGGGTTTTGAATGTGGAAGAGTGGATTTGAATGGCTTTGTACGTTTGGCTGC